TAGGGATTTGGCCTGCCCTCTGCAACCTGGGAGCGGGCCTAAGCCAGCAGGTCGTTATCTCCTGAGGGGTCCCAGACTGCGAGAGGGCACAGGCCGGTCTGAGGGACTCCCCCTTCCCCCCGAGTGCACAAATTTTTGTGCACCGCGCCTCTAGTCCTATATAATAAAAGCTCAGTGACTGAAACTGTGGAATGACCAGAACGACCAGAGACCAGAACACCATGGCCATCGCCCATGCTGGTCCCGCCCCCCAGGGAGTGGTTAGGGCCACCCCTAGGCAAAGTGATAGGGTGTGAGTTTGATGGGGGAAAGTTGAAGAAATGGGGGGAAGGTCTTAAGGGTCTGCAGGGTTGGGGTTGTTGGCCTGGAGTAGGTTTGGAGTGTGCTGGGGAAGGAAGAAGAAGATCCGATTGGAAAATGGCTCAGCACAGTACCTTTCTCATTGAGAACCTGGACAGTGCCAGCTGTGGACTGAATGGGTGCTTCTTTATGAGTGCGCTTGAGACCCACATGTTCATGGCAGTGGCAGTACTCCTGAAAGTTCACTGATTCCAAATAGTAAACAGTTATCAATGTCAAAGAACAGAAAAATCCTCTCCAACCAGAGGCCCGGGATGTGGTAATGCGAGTGAAGGAAACACCACTTAAGGAGGAACTAGAAAAATCAGAAGTATGCGACCAGAGGATCGTGGGATTGTGGAGGACACCTGGGCGCCTACCACTAGAACATGAGCCTGTTACTGTGCATATACGTAGTCAGCCTTGTAGTCCTCAGTCTCGAAGTATTTGGACATGACTTGTGGTGGGAAGTTATTTCAATTGAGGTTTGCTGTTCCCTTGCGGGAGGAAGATCAAAATTAAAGGTTTCGTTTGTTACCTTGGTTTGAAGCGTCGGAAAATGGGATAGTGACGAATAAGAAACTTTGGAGATAGTGAAGGGCGGTTTGTCCAGATTGTTGAGAGCTCAGAATTGGAGTTTAATTGGGATAGAAATCCTGCTAATAGCACCTGATGCCTGAAATCTGAGCACTCTACTTTTAGGTTTTTCAGTTCAAGTTTTTGGAGATTGCCTATTAAAACATTCCTGGTTGGAAAGTGCAGAACACCATGGCCCCTCACCCAGGCTGGCCCTGCCCCCCCAGGGAGCAGTTTGGGGCGATCAGACAGGTAGGCGAGTGGTTAGGGCAATCAGGCAGGCAGGCAGAGGCAGAGGCCCGGGATGTGGTAATGCGAGTGAAGGAAACACCACTTAAGGAGGAACTAGAAAAATCAGAAGTATGCGACCAGAGGATCGTGGGATTGTGGAGGACACCTGGGCGCCTACCACTAGAACATGAGCCTGTTACTGCGCATATACGTAGTCAGCCTTGTAGTCCTCAGTCTCGAAGTATTTGGACATGACTTGTGGTGGGAAATTATTTCAATTGAGGTTTGCTGTTCCCTTGCGGGAGGAAGATCAAAATTAAAGGTTTCGTTTGTTACCTTGGTTTGAAGCGTCGGAAAATGGGATAGTGACGAATAAGAAACTTTGGAGATAGTGAAGGGCGGTTTGTCCAGATTGTTGAGAGCTCAGAATTGGAGTTTAATTGGGATAGAAATCCTCTTAATAGCACCTGATGCCTGAAATCTGAGCACTCTACTTTTAGATTTTCCAGTTCACATTTTTGGAGACTGCCTATCAAAACCCTCCTGGCTGGAAAGTGTTCGTATAGAAGCCCATAAGTATTAAGTGTTTGCTGTTTACCATGCTTAGCTCTTTGTAAGGAATATGGAATAATGTTAAACGCCTCATGTTCTCAAGAAGCTTGACTTTTAAAATAAAAAATAAAGAAGAAATATAAATATTAAAAAGAAAAAGTTTGAGTTTTAGGGGTGAAACAAGCAGCCAGGCAAGCAGTTAGGGGTGATCAGGCAGGTAAGCAAAGCAGTTAGGAGCCAGCTGTCCCAGATTGTGAGAGGGATGTCCAACTGTCGGTTTAGGCCTGATCAATGTGCGGGATCAGGCCTAAACCGGCAGTTGGACATCCCCCGAAAGGTTTGCGAGAGGATGCAGGCCAGGCTGAGGAAGCCCCCCCTCCCATGCATGAATGTTGTGCACTGGGCCTCTAGTAACATGTATAAAAAACCACTGTCCAGGGATTCAGAAGCCTGGAGTGTGAGTCATGGTTCTGCCTCTTGCTTTTTGACTTAGCAAGTTACTTTACTACTTAGATGGCCTCAATTTCTTCATGGTAAAACAAGATGAGATTTTAGATCAGTGGTTCTTTCATAACTGGAGAGATTTTGACCCCTCTTCCTCCTTTTATATGTTACATTGCCTAGAGAGATTTTGGCTATTACAGCTGTGTGTTTGGGGGCAACTGTCATCCACTGGGTAGAGATCAGAAATATGATATGCTTCTGTATGTCTACAATGCACAGAGCAGGCTGCTACAGCAAAAGAATTATCCAGTCCAAAATGTCCATAATGTTACAATTGAGAAACTTTGACTTGGATCTATGGTACAGATCTGTTTTCTGGTTGTTTTTTTTTAAATTTATTGTCTTGTTTTCTGTTTATATTACTTATCATTGTTACTATTACTTAGGGATTATTAAATAAAACATGTTCTTTAAACATTGTTTTTCAGTAATATTCGGTGAAGATGTTGCCTTTGGTGGAGTCTTTAGATGTACCGTTGGCTTGCGAGACAAGTATGGTAAGTTAATATCTTTATATATGAACAGTATTCCTGTAGAACTTTTACTTAAAGATCTTGAGAATATAAAATATACCTGTTATATTATTGCTATATCCTTATTATATGAATGGGTTTCTTTTTCATTTCCATAGCCATCCATTGAATCCTTTGGCCTAGATTTCTCCAAATGTAGCATCCCTTTGATCTGGTTCATGTTGCACATATTATAGATTTCAAAATAATCTTCATTAAACATATTGCTTATCACCTCATTCATATGTCCAGGAATCTTTGATATTATTGCTGCCTGCCTTAGCCAAGTTCAATTCCATTGCCTCTAGTTTAAGATTCTGCCCTATTAGTATCTGTTAACAAAGTTCATCATTTTTTTTAAAATATATTTTTATTGATTTTTTACAGAGAGGATGGGAGAGGGATAGAGAGTTAGAAACATTGATAAGAAAGAAACATCGATCAGCTGCCTCCTGCACACACCCCCTACTGGGGATGTGCCCGCAACCAAGGTACATGCCCTTGACTGGAATTGAACCTGGGACCTTTCAGTCTGCCGGCCGATGCTCTATCCACTGAGCCAAACCGGTTAGGGCTAGAGTTCATCTTTTATTACCTGTGTTAGTCAGGGTTATTCAGGAAATAGAAGTATTAGGATATGTCTATACTTCGGTGTGTATATGTGTGTGTGTGTGTATATATATATGTGTGTATATATATATGTGTATCTAGCTTTCTATATGGATAGATAGATCTATATATTGAGAGAGAGAGAGAGAGAGAGAGAGAGAGAGAGAGAGAGAATGAGTAATAGAGAGATTTACAAACAATTGTGGGACTGGCAAGTCTGAAATCTGTAGGGCAAGCCAACAAGCTGGAAACCCAGGTTTCTATATTGCAGTCTCCAGGCCAAATTTCTTTTTCTGTGGGAAATCACAGTCTTTTCTCCTAAGGCCTTCAAGTGATTGGATGAGGTCCAGCCACATTATGAGGGGTAATCCTCTTTACTTAAAGTCTGACTTAAATGTTAATCACATCTAAAAAATACCTTCACAGCAATATATAGACTGACATTTGATCAAACAACTGGGCACCATTGCCTAACCAAGTGGATACATAAAATGAACCATTACATTACCTTTCATCCCAGCTGATGGGTGTCTTTTGTTATCATGTGATTGATTTCTGCCTCTTGCTTTCATTCATTTCATTTGACTTAGACTCTCAGAATGCATTGTGGCCCATCCTAGCCTTCCCACTCCTGACTTTTTAAGTGAGGAATGTTTCACCAGCACCTACTGTGAGGGATACCTTTGACCATTTATTTCCTCTCTCGGTTTTATCTAATCTGGCAAAGCAGTTAAGATGGGGTGGGAGAGTTGACATCTATCTTTCTTCTTACCATTGACAATGCCCTGTAAGGCTCCTGTGTGCTAGCAGAGTAAAGGGTGAGGGTCTCTAAGATATTTTTTTCTAATTGTTGTTTCTTCTTATTCCATTCTTCTCTGAATTCAAGAAACCATAGCTTATTCCACATCACTTACCAGTTGTTCTCTCTTCTCTTTAATAGCAGGTTGACTTCCTGGGTCCTGTCCCTCTGTTTTTCCCTAGTTGTCTGTTTCTAACAGCTGTTTAAAGTTTGACATGGTTGGGCCAGTCTCAACTATCTCAAACTATTTCAGTTAGTTCCAGCTAATTTTGACACCTATAAACTTTAGATCTTAAAAAAAGTAAAAGCCTTTATACATTTGATTCAAAAATGTAATGCATATGCACTGTAGACAATTTGGGAAATATAGAAAAGTATAAAGAAGATGGAAAAAATTGTCCATACTTCCAGAGACAACCTCAAGAAAACCACTGTACATAGCTTAGTTTGTACACTTCTAAACTGTATTTAAATATATTTGCATGTATTAACTAATATTTAAAACACCGAATTACACTTTTGTTTTTTTTCTTAGGATCTTCATCTCTGCTTACATTGCCCGTCTGTTCTTGTATGCTGTCTGTTTTATCTTTTAGAGCCTTTAGCATTATTAAATTAACCATAGTTGTTTTAAGTTCTGGTCTGATAATTCTATTATCCCTACAGTGTCTAGTTCTGATGCTTGCTCTGTCTCTTCTAATTGTTTCTTTTTTGCCTTTTGTGATGCCTCATAATTTTTCTTGATATATAGCAAGGCGATTTACTGGGTAAAAGGAACTATTGTAAGTAGGCCTTTAAGGACGTGGTGAAGAATTGGGGCAGGGAGGGGAAGCATTCTATAGTCCAGCAGTCGCCAACCTTTCGGACCTTACATATTATCAGTGGTCCGCGGACCACCGGTTGGCGACCACTGCTATAGTCTATGAGTAAGTCCTCACTCTTTCGGTGAACCTGTGCCTGTGGACTATGAACTTTACAAGAGTTTCTTAATTTTTCCCCCACCTCGCAGGTGAGACAGGATGGCTAGAGTGGGTTAGAGTTGCTTATTTTCCTTCCCACAGGTCAGTTAGCTCTGATAATCCAGCAGCCAGGGTGCTGGTTAACTAGTATCACCTGAAGGCAGACCTTCTTAAGAAGGTGGTGCTTGGCCCTGGCTGGGTGGCTTAGTTGGTTGAAGTGTCATCCCATACACCAAAAGGTTTCCGGTTTGAGCCCTGGTCAGGGCACATATGGGAGGCAATTGATGGATGTTTCTCTCTTCCTTCTCTCTCTAAAAATCAATAAAAACATATCCTCCTTTAATGAGGTTAAAAAAAATAAGGGAGTGCTCTAGTGCAGTGGTTTTCAACCTTCTGTCCCTTTAAATATAGTTCCTTATGTTGTGACCCAACCATAAAATTATTTCCGTTGCTACTTCATAACTGTAATGTTAGTACTGTTATGATTCGTAATGTAAATATCTGTTATGCAGGATGGTCTTAGGCGACCCCTGTGAAAGGGTCGTTCGACTGCCAAAGGGGTCGCGACCCACAGGTTCAGAACCGCTGTAGTCTACTGTGTTTCAAAATTGTTCTTGTCTGCTTCCAGCAGGGGATTTTTTCTCCTGTATTTACTGTGGGAACCTAGTCCAGCTCCTGGAGGTAAACCTCTCAGTGGGGCCTCCCCATTGACGGAGTCTCTTGGCGTTTTTAACTCTCAGACTTGTCTACACTGAGCCTCCAACAATTAGGCAGTTACAGTTCAGATTTTCCTACTCGGGCACTGGTTCCTGCGGTGGTTTCAGCTCCTGGGTCTCTGCTCCTGTAAGTTGAGATTCCCTGTGATCAAGTGTCTGTCACTCTCATCTTGGGGGCTGTGGTCTGCTCTGTGTCCTCCCCTCTCTTATGGGTCTAAGAAGATTTTTCAGTCTATTTACCTTCTTGTTAGGACAAAGTGTCAACTTCTGAGATTCTTGCATGTGGAACTGAGAACCAGAAGTTGAAAAACATTTTTGTAACTTCTGGTGACCCTGTGAATGAGTGAGGCCCACAATGTCCAGTCCTCAGCAGCCTTGCTCAGTTCTTGTAGACTCATGCCCATGGCTTCATATTTGTCTTTTTTCTGTTACCTCTTATTTTTCTCAGAATTATTGTCTTGTCTGTATCTGTGTAGTTATATTGCTGAGCAATTTCTAGCCTTCACTGTTCCATCTTCCCTGAGCCCGTGTGTGGTAGCCTGTCATATGCTTGTTCAAGCTGATAAGTCTTCTCGTGGCTCTCTGCTCAGGTTTTCATCCTTGCGGCTCCTCTTCTTACTGTATCCATTCTGACTGGGGCATTTCATCCATGCCACTTTCAGGTCATGCACTAGCAACTTCGGAATTTCCATCTCTAGTCTAGACCTCTAGCCTGAGCTTCACTTCAGATCTGTATATTCAATACTTTATGTATCACTGCACATCATCACCTCAGCATTCCAGTCACTTCCAATTCAGCATTTTCAAACTCATATTTTCAAATTTAGTTGAATTTATTGTCTCTAACCAGCAGACTCATGCCTCCCAGTACATTTTCTATGTAAGTGAATCTACCACCATCTATTTGGTTACCTAAGCCAGAAACCAGGGAGATCCTAGTCTCTTCCTTTTTTTGCATTCCCTACATCCAGTCAAGTCCTACCTACACTTTTATCTTCATAGTTTGTCTTGAAAATAGTCTCTTTTTTTCCATTCTCACTGCCCTGGAGCCTCACTTTAGATTCTTAATCATTTCTGCTTGGACAGTTTCATTTTTCTTAGTAATTACGCTCTCTCTAATCCCCTACCTTCTTGCCAGTGTGATCATTCTGAAACATACATTTCTTGGTGGGATATATAAAAGACTTTGTGATCTTCCCCTACTTACCTACCTGACTGCAGATGCAGTCAATATTACTAATATTCCCTAAGCCCCTGTTTCTTTTCATCTCTCTTCCTTTTCGCATGCCATTTGAATTCCTCTCTCTCATCTGATTACCTGGTAAATTCTATTTCATGTTGAGATGGGTCCTCTGACCCTCAAGTAGACCAAGACACTACTTAATGACTGCTCAGATTTTACATCTTGCAAGTTATGTTGTAATTGTCTTTCCACCAAATCTGTGCACCAGACAATTTCTTAAAGGCAGCAGGTATTTAAATTGTTTGTGTATTCCTAGCTCTTAACATAGTGTTGGTGAATATTGAGACAATGGCCTATGGCCTCAAAAAGGGGATTTGTTTATCTTCCTTTAATGATTTTTTGTTGGTCTGATTCTCTTTCTTAAAAAATTGGTTAAAAAAAGGGAGAAACTAAGTCCACTGCTTGTAGAGGGCACTGCAGATTTATGTTTATATGACAAGGGGCTGAGCTAATGAATGGCTCTCTTAGCTTTATTGTCAACAACTGCTGTGAATTTTCATAACAGCTTTAGGACTATGATTCCAGGTTGATTCATAGGAACGATGAAGTCACAACTGCTGTCTCTAATGAGAGGAGGTGAGCTTCAGTGTTGGAAGTGAAGAATAAACGAAGTTAAGAAGAGCAATATGTTATTAAAAATGCTTTCTGCATATTAAAAA